AGGAGCCTTAGGGACATTTTGTCAGCCCAAAGTGTCCGTGTTTGAACTATTTATTACTTCATATTTTTATTATGATTACTTACAGTGCTAATCCATGTGTGACAAATCTACACTCAGCTAGGTAAGGAAATTGCCAGTTCTGTTCCATTAACTGCCACTGGCTGAGGGAACAATGTTCCTGTAGGTTAAAACAACAATTAAGGGGCCCTTAACACTTGAAGATGGGGAGAGAGGGGATACTGGCAGCAGACATTTTTCACACATTGCTAAGCTGCTTCAATGCATAAATTAACTTTTAGTTCAGTTACATCAGTGGAGTGTGTTGTGCATATGCATGACTGGTTTCTGTGTGTGTGAACCAAAACCTGGGCCTGTTGATTTATGAGAAAGGGTAAGAGAGGTTGAAATTAGTAAGCAAAGCCAAACAGTCCCTTTGCAGCAGAGAATATCAAACGGGCTTTGTGACAGCTACTCACAGATGCTGATGTAAGACCTGAGGTCTTGGCATGGCAGTGGATTGTTCATTACGTAATTTTTTTCATGCCCAGGTCACTTGAACTGCATTTTGTTACTTCTGTAGCTGGACCCGTTTGTTCAGTGGAAGAACAGGGTTCACTGTAGTTATATTAAACAATAAGTATAATTTATTGTAGTATAATTAGCAAGTGGATATATGGGGCATGAAATATTGCTAGACCATCATAGATATTTTTAATATGAGTTTATATAGAATAATAATGATGATAATTATACATATTTTCCCCTTAATATAAAAATGATTTTGACTTATATTAGGTGGGCAAGGAGAGCAGCTTGTAGTGTGCAGTGTGGTACAGTATGTCGTACATCTGCCAGTATTTTTGGGAGGCTGTATTGTAGAATGTGGCACACATTAGGTTTTTGGTTAAGTCTTAAATGTAATGAAGAGTAGACTGGCAATATAACATTTTCATGTCAGTAAATGGTGGTGTAAAATTTGCCAGTCCCTTAAGATCTTTTGATGAGTAGAGTTTACAGAAATAATTTGCAGAAAAAAAATTCTGAAATCTAATATATGTGATAATGGAGAAATAAAAGCTGAAGTGGTACATTTAGGATGCATTTTTTATTACTCTAGGTTCATTTCTGACATAACTTGTTTTAGTGAACCACTTGAATGATCTTGGTAGCTATGAAGTTTTAATAGCTAACACTTGGAAAGCCTTGTAGTTTAAACAAATGTCAACTTCAAAATCACATTCCTTCCTTAAGAAACTATCCCAGTTTTATTTTTTATAAAAAACGCCTACATGTGAAAGGCTGTGAGGAAGTAATGTTTTAGAAGTTACTGTAAAATGATGACTTTTTTCTTGATGGGGTCTTTGTAATGTGTCACAAAACTTTTGCTATATGTTTAATTTTACTCCTTTATAAAACTGTTTATTAAGCATTTTAGAGCACTGACCCTTTGCTTCATACAGGATTTGAAAGAAATCCATGTTTTACTAGAGTTGATTAAAGAAAAGAATGAAAGAGAAACACAGGCCCTAATGGACATTCTTATGTGGGTAAAAAAGGTAATAGGAAGGAGAGATTTTTGAGAAACCAAAGGTTTGCATCTGAACTGTGATTCAGATCTTTCTTGCATTGCAATAGGCATTCTCAGGCATTCTAAACCTGGAAACCTTTTGGAAAACAAAGGACTATTGGGAAAAACTGTTGGAGAAGGATAGCACCAAGAAAGCATACTTTCTTATGCTTTGAATGGTGGCTCTTTTTTAATGATCTGTCCCTGAAATTTCTGTGAAAACATTGGGTTGCATTAAAAACAAAAAAAAAATCAAGTGTTTTACTAGCTCTGGTCCCAAGTAGTTTCAGAAGTGTAAAAAGTGCAGCAGGCAGTTAGCAAACTTTTTAAGATGAAAAAATGGGCAATGTATTGAGAACTTCTGATGAAAGGAGTTGATGCGGAAAGGTTGTTGCAAGCTGGGAGTGGAGATGATGTTCCAAAGCTGCAACACCATCCTCTCTGCACCCTCACCTCTTTGCTGTGTTTTTGTTGCTTCTCTTGCACTGTGACACATACAAGGCACCACTTCTCTTGCCAGGAAAAATAAATAATTACATGTATAGTGATTGAGAGATTCCAATTATTAATATTCCACTTGCTGAATTTTACAATTGTCTCATTAATGATCTTATTATTAATGAATGAGCAGAGATTAATGTCTGCAGAATGTTCATTTTGCACTCTAAAATTGGGCATTTGTGTTTCTGATCTTTATTGCAGAGTCACTTATAATAGCTCCACTAACACTCACAGCAGCCCACAAAATAAGTATTTGCAGAGTTTTTTGCCTTTCTGAAGGCCCAAGATGAACTTAACAAAGTTTCTAAAGCAATGCAGTGTGTAGTGACAGGGATGGTGCATATCAGATTGTCTTTCATGTCCTGGCATCACTAATGTCTGTATAAAAATCACATTGTTTTTTAAAACATGAGGAATAATTTTGATATCAGAATAAACTGTTACACTGTTGATAATTTTTAAAATTTAAAAATCAGATTTAGGAAAATGCTTTTTAAGAAGCCTGACACCTTCAAGTAAAGGCATTTTTTTTGTTTTTACTGAGGGGGTTATGTGTTTGAAGAACCAATAAACAATGCTTATGTAACACTGCTTAGACTTTCACATCAGGCAGCTGGTATAGCCAGACACTCAGTTTGGTTTTTTTTATTTTATTTTTGGAGGTATTTGTGAGTAGCTTGATGTTTTTGACATCTGTGTGACAGCTTCTTGCATAAGAGATGAGCAGCATGTTCTACCACCCAGCTGTGTGTATTAGTCTGCACATCAAGCTGAAGAGCAGCACTTAGCCAGATCTGACAATCAAATGTGAACTACTACTACCTATACACAAGAGTGCATTTTAATGTTGTGTGCTTTTTGCCAAGAGCCTGATACTTGACAAAGAAATTGTCAGAATCTCTCTTCTTCCCACTTTTTTTTCTTCCCACAGATGTGAGTCCATGTTAAAATATCTTATTTTTTTCCATGCAGTTTAATATGGTTTATCTTACAGATAACAAAGCCAGTCTAATGTTTTCAGCAATTTCATGTAATAAAATGCTGGCAAGCTTTTGGTAATAGAGGAGTGTAATTGTTTTAGAAAATGCAGGAAATCCTTGTGTCACTTTCTGCCAACTTAATCTGAAGCTACAATCTGCTGTGTTTCACCAATGACTTCATGTCAACATCCCAACAACCCGTCCCCAAAGAAAACTGAGGACATAAAGAAGTTACACCACTAGTTCAGAAATGTCAGTGCTGCTCTTCTCAGGCTTGTTAAGAATCGGTGCTCAGCACGTTGTGAGTGTGGGGATGAGTGGGAGCCACCTGCTCTGATTGTAGTTTGACTGATCTATGAACCTTAAAATCCTCTACACTTCCACCTGACTTTAAGCCTCTGTCGCCTTTCTCGATGCTGAAATTTGAATGAAAGGAATTCATTGTCACAGAATGCACAGTTACACTCCATAGTTCAGCTTTCCTCATTTATGTGTTTGCTATAACACAGGAGTTAGTTAATACATAAAATGTTTTCTCTTCCTTTTTTAAATAGTAGTGTCAGAATAGTGAAGACCTGGTTTCACCTTGTTTTGAACTTGGTTTTATGAAAGTGTTAGTCATAACTTTTTTTTTACTTAGTGTTTCCCTTTGTATTATACCCTTAATATTATTTTAGAAACAGTATTCTATTTCCATCTGGTCTTTCTCTTACAACATAAAAATATAGAATTTTTTCTTCTGCTAGTGTTTATGTAGTTGAAAATATTGCAATCAAAATAAGAATTTGAATCCTGTTATTATATTTAAGCATTATGGCAGATACAGTTTTATGATCTTTGAGTTGCAAGTAAGTTGAAATTTGTTTATAATCAAAGTTTGTAAAATGCAATCCTTGCAATCTAAAAGAAAGAAGAAGTAGAGGAAGGAGTTTATTAATTTTCTAGGCCAGAACTTCCACTGTAATAATTTTTACACTGTGGTTAAGCTGTACTTACATTGAGTTAGTGTTGAGTTATTCTGTGAGTAGATCAGTGTGAATGTATCTGTCATGGATCAGGATTGTTTGATTCCAAAAATTCTGATGGCATGTTTCACACATCTCTTGCACTTGGCAAATCATCAACACAATTAATTGTATAGTGCCACAAAAAATCCATTTTGATCAAGAAAAACCTGAAAAATACAATTTGGAGAGACATCAGGATTTTATCTTAGCAATTTATTAGTCACATTGACCAAATATTGGTGGAGATGCTTTCAGTCTAAACCAGAAGTAAAAATGGAGTTAAGAGAACAAGGGGACAGAGGAAACCTGTTTTTACAGGTTCTTTGTGCACTCTCAGCATCAAACTGGATTTATGGCTGTCTCTGGGGTGGCACGTCTTGAGGATGACATTTTAAATATTGTCAGGCTGTGGGGGCTTTGGGCTACAGTAGATTGTACTTTCCTTTTATTTCATAAACTATTTCAGGAAATATTTTGGAGTACCCCCAGTACTGGGGCTTGTTGTTTTAATGAAGTGGGTTATTGAGCCATTTGATGAAATATGAGCTTTGTATCCATTGGCTGCACAAATTGAAGTAAAAAAGAAAATGGAAAGGAAACAAGAAATGAATGTGTAGTTATAAAGTAGCATAGGTCTGAAGAACATAAGGCTGAGATGAATTTTTATCAGTGTAACAAGAACTGATACGTAAAAAAGAACTTGGGAGTAAAAACACTCATGAGCTCTAAAACTGCCTAAACTGAACTACTGCTTTGTAAACAGAAAAGTTCCCTGATTTTTTTTGTTCTTTTTGTTTTACTTATTTAATTTTCCAGAACTGAAGGTAGTAAGAGAAATAATTGCACCTGGTTTTGCCATTTAAATACAACTAATTTTATACTTCTCTGATTATATCTTGGTTTTTAACTTTAATTTTCTGTTTCAATTTTGTTCCTCCAAACCAGAAGAAAAAACTTCTTGAAGAACTTGGGGAGAATAGACTTCCATACCTGACACCAGCTGATGCCGATTTCCACCAGCTGGTAACGTATTTCTTTCAAATAATTTTAAACTAAAATGGCTATTTGCACTGAACAACAAACAAATCTTCCTTCAAAGAGACACTGTGAAACCTGATATGAAAAAAAAGTATCCTGATAGCTGATAATGCACTTCCAGGTGATTGAAATAAGATCTCTAGAACTGGGATGCTCACAAATGAGAACTTGTTGAACTTTATTTTTATGTGTGTGCCCTCACTACAAGTAATGTGTAACAGTTAATCACAGTTTTTCATGCTTTGCTAAAGCAAAGTACTTGTCACCAATATTTTAATTTATTTTTTCTGACTGATGAAGAGAACTGTATAGTTCCTGTTTGGAAAAATAGGGGAAATATTAACATAGAAACTTAAAGTTCGAGGGGCTTAGTTCTACTTTCCAACAACAAGTAATTGTTAATGCTTTGCTTGCAAAACAAACCATGGAAACTGGAATGCCTCAAGTGAAACCAAACAGAAGTAAGGTCAAGCCTAGTAGCCACGTGAGCAGTGAACCAAGTGAGTGTAAGCAAGAATATAAGGAATAAATAGAATTTTCTGCATCTGTCTTGGATCTTTCTAGATCAACTACAGAACTCAGGGTGGATTCAATCAGATCAAATTGGATCATGGTAAGAGAAAAAGCATAAGGAATAACCTGGCTGTTCGAAGAGCTCCAGTGACCATGCTCACATTACACAACACAGGAGTGGTGCCTGCCTTGGTTTAATATATGGCTCAAAGATGTGCAAGTGTAGAAGAGCTGGGAGAATTTATAAGGGCAATACAGATGGATTTTATTATTTCTTCTTTCTTTACACAAGAACCCAGACACGTTCTTTTCAGTCTTAATGCTCATGAAGAAACTCTTCCACCTTTTAAGAAGCGGGCTCACTTTTAAGAAGCTGACTTTTCTCCTTTCTAGTCCTGCTACATCCCCTCCTGTTTGCTCTCTTCTGCCTCTGTTGCTGCCAAGAGCTGCTGTGCCCAGCATCTCTTTTTTTTTCACATCTTTGTAAATTCAGCTTCTCCTGGAGCTGATGTGAAAAGAGAAGGTGGCATCTTACAAGCCAGGACACATCTCATTTGGTCAGGGTCAGTAAGCCATAAATACAGAAGACAATGGGAATGAGATAAGCAGTAAAATCACACCTGTTCAGTCCTTAATAATTTTTCAATACATTCTTTTTGTAAATATAGAATTATACTTTTTATATAGTGTATGTGTGCATGTTAGGTATTTTTAAGTATATAGGCTAATCATAAACATCACAAACACCTTTTGAAGTCTGTGGTGGTTATGAAATGTTCGTGGAATCACAGCTGTAGAAATTGCAAGTTCCACGGTGCTTAAATGCACTACAGCTGGGGAGGAAAAGAAGGGTGAGAGCTTGAAGACAACAAATTGGCAAAGTAAAATATCATATACAGTTTAGTTTTATAGTCTGTCTTTCCTGGACAGACCTGCCCTACTCCTTGAAGGATCTACCTCTTATGAAACAGTATTCTTTGAACATGTTGGAAAAGTTAGGTAGGATGCAGCTAAAAAAAACTGTCTTATCCTGTCAGGTATGGAAGTGTACAGCCTGAACAGAAGTAAGAAATTCCATCACAAGCAAGACTTCCACTGACATCCTCTTTCAATGTGTTTTTCCTGATAAAGGATTTTGGAAATGGGCCCCAAGCCATAAGCTGAAACAATGTAATGTTTAAAGCCAGTACGGAACAAGAAAAGGGCTGCAACAAGGTAGTTCACAAATATTTGAAGTTCAGACTATAATTTCAGGATTCACATGGCAGTTTGCTTATCAAGGGTCCTTGTTACTGATTCCTAACTTTATTCTGTCACTCAGGTCCATAGGGTGATTCTCTGTGTTGAGCATCACCATCAAAAGTGAAAGCATATTTAAAATCTTGTGTGTAATAGACAAAAAAGATTTGAACATCAAATGTGGTTGGGGTTTTTTTCTGTACTGAGTTGTCTGTAATGCTGCCACTTCTTTCAGAGTGATCAGTGAGTTGACCTTTGATACTGGCTGTCAGAGTTACAAGGCAGAGTACATGATTGCTGCCCTGCCCCACCCCCCAAAACAACAAGGTGTCCAGTGTGAACCCAGCAGTCACCCCGTGTTCTGATCCTGTAATTCTTTCCTTATGGATGGCACGGCACAGGCACTGGCTGGGGATTTAAAGAAGACCAGGCTGTTTTCATGTGATGTGTCGGAAATGTGTTTCCACTTCCTGATTTCTTTTGAGATACCTTAATGATAAAATAGTTCTTAAGCATGTGATCTTAAAGCACAACCCAAAGGTAACAGGCCTCTGACTTGGCTGGCAGCAAAATGTGCAAGGCATTACCTCTGCAGCTCAGGAGGGGAATACAGTGTTGTTTCCTTTGTAAAATCTGTGTTCTTCCTTTGTAGTTCATGTTTTCAGGGATTTAATTGCTTTACTTCATATTGTTATTTCCCTCCTTCTGTTCCTAATGATTGTTTGGAATTTTGTGTGCGTGATTAATGTCAGAAATTCAGTGTATTTATATTTTCATATAAATGGTTTAAAATATATATAATATTCGTGACTGTTTAAATACAACATAATAGCATATGTAATGTGGTATGAGTATGTCCAGTATACAGAATTATTTACAGAAATACTGGGGTACTGCCATAGAACGGTTAGTGCTCTTTCTTTCATACAGGGCATTTGCATAATGAAAGAAATAATGAAGTAATAATCTTTATATGTCACAACATATAATATTCTAGCATTCTTAAGTAACATTATGAAAGAATATTTATGATTCCCATCAGCCCATACCTTCACATCTGACTGTAGCCTATAGCTCCAAGTCCTAAATTTACAGTTACTGCTTTCATTAGTTGTTGTTTTTAAGGACTTCTTTCACGGTACTATTCAAAGGCTGGAGATACACAGCACTGATAGAAACAAAAGGGGCAGTTCAGGACCTCTGAAGGAATCCTTTCAGGCTTTTGTCAAGCTCAGGTGAATATAGTTTATCAAGGTTGGATTCACTTCTTTGAATGAAAGCTGTGATCCTGTGTTCTAGGGTTGTAGAGGGACCTTCACGCAGATCTGGGACTGTTTTCAAGCTTTGGTGTTTGAAGCTAAGCATGTAAATGCAATTGTCAGAAATTATTATCTGTAGATACTGTAACAGGGATTTATTTTCCTCTCTCTAGGAAGCTGGTTTTTTAGAACCATAAGAGTGTATAGAGAAAAGGAGTTAGCTCCACTGTAAAAATTTACAAGGAATAGTGGCAAGGTTTATAGATAAACCAAGATTTATTATATGTAATCATTATTTTTAAAATAGGCTTCCTTTTATGTTCTTCTTTTTAGTAGAAACAAATGAACCTATAAAGCCAGCTCTTCGGTGTTACAGGATAACAGTGCATTATGATGCAAAAGTCTGTTTTCATGCAGTGGAAAATGTGAATACTTACTGTCTGGTCTGTATTTTTTAAGGGCACATTCTTTGGATTTTAAAATTAATTTCCTGAAAGGCAGGTTCATATGAGACTTGGAAGTAGATAGTACTGGTAAAGTGGGTTTGAGTTGTACCAGAAGGAGCTCACAGATGGATTGTAGGTCAGTGCCGGTGACTTTTATTTGTCTTTTTAAGAGCACTTTGAACATAAGCTATTAGACTAATAATAAAGGTTTTGGCATATCAGTTTTGTGCATCCATGTGCTCTTTCCCCATTGCCTAATGCCTTCAGATTTCAGTCTACCTTAATATGTCTCCCCACACCACCATCAGTACCTCTCTGGACAAAAGGAAATAGGTGTGGTGAGTCTTTAGGAGCTCCACAAATGCTAATTGATGCCTGATACACTCACATTACAGCTCCTCCCTTACTAGGGCACTAGTGTGCATCTGTTTCTTTTATTTATCTATTAATTTTAATGAAATACGTAAGAACCCACTCTTTAAAAGAACTTATTCCCTCGCCTTTGTCTAGTTTGCCAAACTCAGCAGTAGTTAAAGCAGATTTACAGGCAACCAATAAAAGGTGTGATTATGTGATACTCACTTCCTCAGAAAACCAGATTAACAAAATAAAATTATCCAAGCCTTCCCGGAGTGGGAAGCAGTATTGTGCATACAAAGCAAGAAGCTGCTGATTAGCAGTGTTATACCTTGCTGCTTCCACACACTGCTGGATTCTGAACTCCAGCTGATACCAGAGCAGGTGTGGTCACAAGAGGATATGAGGGAAAAGGACACTGCAGGTAGGGAGCTGGGGAAGAAAATAAGTTTGGACATTTTCTATTATCAAAAGAGAGCTTTTATTTAAAATGAGAGATAGCACTGGAATGTTAGCAGTGCATTTTTCAAAATGTACGTTTATTTTTGCCCTGAAAAGTATTGTTAGATAAAGCTATTTGTGTGTCTCATGTAGATCTCTAGATTTCTGTACATCAGAATGAAACTGAAGGGTCTTTGCAACTATTGCAAAAAGAGGGATTGCTTTTTACTGCTTGCTATTCTCTTGTTTATATACTCAAAGGTGGCATTGTCTAGTGATTCATCAGATGAGCTGTATGTTCTGCTGAATTGTTCTAGAGTCTTCGTATTTATTTATTTGGAGATTTGTTCTGGTTTAAGCCATTGGTACATATCAATAGCTTGTGCAATATACTGAAATATGAAAAGTAACAAGTGCTGACATCCATACCTTCACCACATTCCTGTTAACTTGACAGCTTTGCCTTGTCTTGAAATTTCGTGACTCCTGTAAAAAGAATAATTATTTTCCTCTTTTCGTTGTTTGGGTTTTTTTTCTCCTTTAGTGGAAGACCAAGTATTCCAAGCTGATTTTCAGGAAATCCGATACTGTCCCTGAAGAGCTCCATCAAATGGTACAAGAAAGCTTTCTGGCCTTGCGAGAACACAACTGTTTCTTTCAAGATCTTGTAAGGATCAAAGGAAAAGACTTTCTTACTCCAGTGTCTCGTATATTAATTGGAAACCCAGGATGCACTTATAAGTACTTGAACACAAGATTATTTACAGTTCCTTGGCCTACAGAAAGTTATGATGTAAAATATTGCAGTCCTCAAATACATGATGCTTGTAAAGCATTAATGAGACTTAATGACTACTTGCATATTGAAACAGTCAAGGCATTACAAGGACAAAATTTGTTTGAAAACAAAGAAATTAACGATACTACTGTAATAGAAAGGAAGCAAAGTTTTGCTACTTCTCTTACAGAGCAAGTGTCTGTTTCAAAAGATCAAAGCAGTGTTTGTGTACCTGAGGATGACAGAAGTCTAAAGAACAGAACATCATATAATTTGACTTTATTAAATTATATGGATCCACTGGAAATGCTGTACTTGAAACAAGAACCTTACTTTGGAATGGGGAACATGGCAGTGAGCTGGCACCATGACGAGAACCTGGTGGAGAGGTCAGCAGTGGCTGTGTACAGTTACAGCTGTGAAGGTGAGTGGTGGGACTTGGCCAGTCACAGAAGTCCCTGAAATCCCTGAAGCTCTCCTGTGTTCCCTTGTGTGCATGTTCATAAGCACACCTGCGTGCTGGTCTAGACTTGTCACGTGCTTCTGAATGCACCTTTTGTATTGAAGTTTTGTCTTTATTTCCACCAAAACCTGTACAAAATACCTGTGTTTAGTGCAGCTGGCTTAGCAGTTGTTCTCTAACTAGATTTAAACATTGGTATAATTAATTCCCTGACTAATAGCCAGGAAATCAAAATCTGTCAAATACCTTTCTCAGGTTAATGCATGTGCATGTTTTCTATTCTGTAAAATGTTTCACTGTGGTTGGGTTCACTACTTTTATAGTGTTATTTGTCATATATGGACTTGCTTTGCTTTATGCTGATCTTACTACTCTTCTTTCTTTGGAAAGATCATTTTCAGTTGGTTTTGGATAGAAGTATTACTGTATTTACTTAGAAATATATGCATTTTGTCTAGGCATGCAGTAGTGTTAATGTGTTTTTTATGGAGGACTTGCCAACATTTCTCTAGCTGGGAAGAGTGGACACTTTGCATTAAAACAACTCTTGTCTGACAGGCTTTGCAGGCTCTTGCCTGTTTTAAAATGAATTGCATACAGCATTTTAGGGGTGGTGGTGGTAAAAGTGCAGTTGAAGCATCATTAAATATTTCATTTTTAATTTAAAGTACCTGCCCCATTTTTATTGTTGTTTAAGAGCGAACATGAAGAATTTTTGTTTTTTTTTCTAACAATGCTTGAACAAAGGATTGAATATTTTTTTAATGACTCTTAGTTTTGCAAACATAAGATGAGAATTTAGAAACTTGATTTGAACTTGCAAATGTTCTGTTATGTTTCATCATTAGCAATGGATTTTTTCTTCCAAAAATCCTGTGATGTTTGCTTTAGAACAGGGGAAGAATTTGCATTGACTTCAGGAGGTTTTGGCTAAAGATTATGATATAAAAATAACAGTTTATATTCCCATGTGCATTCTCTTATTGGTTTTGTTATTAGTTTTGAAACTCAGTGTCACTTTGGTACTTAATGTACAACTGAAGTCATATTATTTACATTTTCCTGGATATAAAACATCAACTGGCCTATCAAATTCAGTAGAAGAGATTTCCTGACTGGCAAAAGTGTAATTTTCTTCATTAACTTCTTTCTGTCCTATTAGTCAGTGGTGTTAAGTAGATGTGTTGGGGTTTTTTTCCATTAGTACTGTAGAGAAATATTTTTTCAGTAGGATTTTAAGTTAAAGAAACCTAAACATAGTACTATAATAATACTGTGTATGAGGATTTATTGTAGTATGCTTAAAACTTTTCGCTTTAACATAAAGTTTGGTTATGGAGGGGGAAAAAATGAGTCCCTTTAACTTCAGCTATAAATTAACAAAAATGAAAGCTGCTATGTTTATTCATAACTTGTTAGTTGATTTTCTTTCTTTTATTCAGTGAGTTAAATAGGTAAAAATTATGGTGTTTTAAAACCACTGAAAATTCTGTAGAAGATTTGATTGATGCGGGTAGATAGAAATATTTTATATTTTTAGGTAAAAGTTATTTTGGTATCTATGCATAATTAATTTTTTTGCCAAATACAAGGTTTTTTTTCATAAATACGCTTAAATTAAAAGTTTGTATTTTTTCTGAAAAGTTTAGAAATAGGAAAACAAAGAAAACAAGATCTTTCTAGTAAATCAATTGATCGTTCTATCATTAAAAAAAATTTAAAGTCACTACTTGAAATTTTTCTGATTTTGACTTGCTCAGGTCAAGTTCTTGAGCTTTAGAGGGAGTTTCAGGTGCCTGCCCTGGCAATGGAGCAGCGTGGAGAGGTGTCCTGCAGTCCAGCTCTGTGTGCCAGCAGTTCACTCCCATCTGTGTCAGGGTTGTCATTGTGTAACCCTAAAGCAATGACCTGCCTATTCATGAACTGGGGGAAATGGATCCTGTTTATTACTTAGGAGTATGGTTTTGTAACTAGTTTTGTAACTGAAGTGTAGGTAAATACCTCTTTGTGTTAAAGTTTTGTACCCAGTGCATCCAAGAGGATTTGATTTTAGAGAATAAATTTTGCTCTTCTGATTTTCTGTTAACAGCCTTCCAATGCTGCTGGTTATAAGCTCAGCAATGTTTATAATATTATTCTTTCCAGTTCTATATAATGTCAATGTTTTGGTGGTATCTGCAAAGACTTTCGATATTTCCTATATAACCCGGTCTCCATAACTGTGAAACATGAGGATCTCAACATCTTTTTGAAGAATATTGTTATATCTTTGTGGAATCATGTCTGGACTTTTTATTTTCCATAAATATGTTTAGTTTTTATGTCAACGTCTTTTATTAGCACTTCACTTATTCATTTAATATTGAATTAGCCTTGAATTCTCAGTGTAGTGTAAAAAGACTGTCACAGAATCACTACAGAATACATAATAAAGTGAGTCATTGTGGTCAGAATTTTTTTGTTGGAGCTATTTTTCCTTAGAAGATATAGCTGAGCTGGATTAGTAATTTTCTGGGAGAAAACACTGCTTCAGTGGGAAATGCAAACACAAATCAAGCATGTTGATTTTTGTTGGAACTGGCTTGATTCTTTTTTCTGTGTGTTGTTGTGTCAGCTCTCAATTCCTCAAATCCCCAGTGGACACTGAGGGTCTGTGGCAGCCTTGGCATGTGGGAGCTGGGGCTTCCAGAGATGCATGGCTGGTACTGACCTGCCCTGCTGCAGATGCACAGTCCCCAGGTTGTCAGATTTTGAGCAGCAGCAGCCCTTGGAGTCAAGCAGTCTTACTGAGCTCTGGCAGCTCTGTCAGACTGTTTAGAGATGCACAACTCAGGTTATATGGTTTTCTTTGTACTTTCATTTACATCTTTATAGCAGTATTTGTTTTGTACCTACTTACTGGATTAAATAGCATTAAAACAGATACTACTGTAATTGAAACAACTTGTTTTCTTGTTCATTTGTTCATTGTTTGATGCCATAATGAAAATTTCATGTTTGAAACTTTGATCAGTGTTAATTGGAGTAGAAGCAGATTTCAATATGCCAGAAAAGAAATTTAGACATCAACATAAAGATATTGGAACAAGCTGATATTCTAATTGGTATCAGTGTTTATTTTCTTGTTTCCAGTGTAAAACTCTTTCAAAGCAACTTCAAATGAAGTACAATTCTATCAACAAAACAAAGTAAACATTTAGCTTGATGCTTTTACTTACATTACATTAGGTTAAGAGTAGGTTGTCAAGTGATGAGAATAAAAATTTGAGAGGTTTCCTTTTAGTGTGTATGCTGCATGAAAGTGCATGAGTGGTAGTCAGGGTGCATATGCAGAATTAAATAGGTTACAGAATGTATGTTCAATTATACTGCCACTAACAGTATTTGGAATTAATTTAATTTCAGAATTTATCAAGGAACAAGAATTTCAAATTTTGATCAATTTAGCATTTTTAATAACACATTAGCTTACAAGTATCCTATCACCTGAGAGCATGAAGGTAAAATAGTTCAGGATTTTAGTATAGTAAGCTGATAATGTATATTTACTTCCTGCTGCAGTTATAAAAGTGAATTGCAATTCAGTAGAATAAGGGCATTTTCAAAAATTGGATTTTATCCATGAAAAGTTCCTAATGACTAGATTTCCATCAGGTCAATGTAAGTTTTGTAGGAAGTTTTATTACTTACCAGAGCACTAGTTGGTTCTAAAGATGTTCTTTGAAGTAGGGACCTGTTTCAGTTACAAATTTACAGAAGATGCAAAAAATGTAAACAATTGAAGTGTGATCATCTTCTCTACCTAGATTTCCCACAGAGGAAGAGATTAGGTAAGTAGTTTTCTCTAGATTCTATACGATATCCAGTTTGTTTTCTTGCTGTAAGGGCTACTTGCTGTTTAACTCTTGAACTTCTACAGACTGGCTCTGTCTGCTGACAAGGTAATGTTAAAAGGTTTAACAAACTTACTGTTAGTTGCAGTGATGACTAATCTTCAAGGACCTTTTGTGCTTGTTTCTTTTGTGAAATGCTGCTTGTATGTTTTTACTCTGTGAAGCTAGAAGCAACATCCTGGCAGGTAGTCTAAAGATGGCTATTTCATTTAATTTGGAATAAAAATTATTAAGATGCACTACAGATGTATGTTTCCCCACCATATTAAAAACAATCCTGAAACTACAAAAGTTGTTCAGCATTGAAGTCAATCTAACTTTGACAATAATCCTCTTTATGTACTGCTTAATGGATAAAAGTCATGGAGTAGATGCTTTTTTTGCAGGATTGGAATAATTTCTAATGTCAATAATATAACAGAAATATTACTTGTTGAAGTAACAGAAATGGTATGTAGAAAATGTTACCTTACTTTTGAAGAAATGGGTAAGTGTATGAAATGGTCACTGCTCTAACTTGTAGAGTCTGGCCAGTTTGATTTATGTTCTGAAAGTCACAAATTTTTAGTGACTCACTAAATTTCACAATAATAGATTAGAATCTCTGTTGTCTAAAAAGAAATCATCACTTGAATAGACTGTTGTGGGTTGTGGGGTCTCTTTTAAACATCTTCTCACTGAGAAAATACAGCCTCTCCTTCAGAAATTAAGGGATGGCAGAATACTGTTTGTTCTTATTTTCATGCTTTTGTTCCTGATTAATGTGTATACAGCATTCCAAAAATGAATTGATAAGAACATTGTTGGCAAAATCTTATGGTTTTTTTGGTTTTGTGAATGTCAGTTGCAAGAAAAATGTAAATGTTAATAGAATTTAACCTCTTATACTATGATTTTTCAGTAATGAGGTAGAGGAAATAACTTTGGGTAGATACTTACTTCTCATCAGCTGCTAAGAAGCAAAGTATGCTCTGCTTCTTTCACTTCTTGCATGTAACACAAATAAATTGCTATTGAAAGACACTCATAATTTATGAGTGTTTTTTTTTAATTGAGTGTATTTTTTTTAATTGAGGAATATGTGCATTCTGGAAAAAAAATCAATCAATCTGTAAAAAATAGTGTAACAATGGTCAGTTGGATTTAATGTTGAAGTAAATGCTTACAGTCCTTGTTCTTAGCAATGTGTTGGCAGTGATTCTATTTTCTTAAGAAATGGTATGTAAGGTTACATTTAGGATGTAATTTGGCGTTACAGTTTGACTTGAATAGAGATCATTTAGGTTTCAGAGCATCAAAAAGTCTCAGACTCTGGAAGATTTTGGAGCCAAATAGCAAAGAAACCTTTCAAAGCTACTTTTACTTTCTGTGCTCTGGAACAATAACCAAAGTAGTTCCAGGAAAACAAGTTTCATATTGTTCTGAACCTAACCCTGACCCAAACCTGATAAGATCAGATCTTACTGCTGGAACATCTCTGAAATTTGAGCTGTCTCATTAAAAGCATAATGCTGTGGCCAATTTTCTGCAGCTACATTCTCTCTTTCATGGCTCTACCATAATTACAGGTTTGATGAGGTATTGTTATGTTGTGGTAAGATTTTACTTCATTGCACCATTTTATTTGGGATTCCAGCATAAAGGTTTCTTGCAGGCTCAAGTCTGTAAATCTGCTGACCAGAATTCAAATCTGCACATAGTTTTGTTATACTTCCCTTAAATACTTGTATACTTGACCATTTCTGTATGGCTCACTACAAAATATATTTGTGTTCTTAAGGTGATGGGAATGTGATCCATGATTTATGCACATGACTTAGTCTCAAATACTTATGATTTAGATGCATCCAAATGTTTTCACTTAAATGGCAACTCTAATTATATCAATAAATATACAGCATCCAATCATTCTTGAGGTGTCTTAGAGAATTTAATAAAAACTTAGTTTTATGTAAAAGTTTGCCTGGATATGCCACAAATGTTAAGGTGTCTCTTTTTCCCTTGCTCTCAGTTTCAGGGTAGCTTGCATTTAAAAGCAAGTAGCAGCTTGCTTCCATTTGTTACCAAAATAACATGGTAGGAGCAATCAGTTTCAATTGCTGCTGATAATTATAAGGTGCAATAATTGAGAATACAGAGAAAAGGAGGCCGTGAGCTGTATTTGAACTCAGTACTTAAGTAATAAAAAATTTATCAAACTGCAAAAAATAAGTCATTTTAACGAGCACATTCCAAAGGTGCTGGATTTATGAGGAGACCCCAGGAAACTTTGATTGAAATTGCTGTCTCTGATTGTAGTTCTATATTTTATTGGTGCCATATTGTGAACAGTGCTGCTGCCAAAGTGAATGGGAAGGCAGCATAACAGAGAGAGTTAACCCAGAAAGGTTACTTCTTTTTATAATATCCATGATGTATTGCATTAAAAATGCCTTGAAAGCCATCCTATTTGCAGTTTTCAGAAAACATTTTTCTTAAATTAAGTTACGATTTATCTGAACAGGATAGAAAATATGAAAGCCCCTTGAAGAGTTTAGTATTGATTTTTCTGAGTATTTGCTAGCTCTTGTTTTCTCATTTTTGTGCTCCTTGATGGAAGGGCCTAGAGCTGCTCCTGTGAGCCAGAGCTTCAGTTGGATGAGCCCTGCAGCAGTGAAGGGAGGGAACTTGGGGACTGTAAGAATTTTCACTTAAGAACATTTAGATTGGCTCTTTAATAGGCTTTGTCTCTCTGCTTCCTGAATTTAGATAATACTTTGTTGATATAATAGTTAATAAATTGTCTTAATTTTCTAAAGGCTGCCCCCAGCTAAACAACCTGCAGTAACCATGTGAGGTGAATGACATGAATATTTTAGAAATGTGAGCTCGTGGTCACACTTTGTGCGTGCCTCTTATAATAAGAGCTATACATCTTTAATGTTTTTCTTCTAGAATTTACTTAAGACAAAGGTTTTAAAAATTGTTACATGAAAGCACATTTCAAGTGGACAGTGAAATGGACACAGTTGCTAAGTTCTAAGAGTTGGGCATGGTGCATAGTTAATTTCTAACTGTTCACTGCTGTTCTGTGCCAGCTATTTATTAAAACTTCATCCCTCTTCTGTCAAAATGCACTGTTACTTTAGCTGTAAAACTGTTACACCATAGCTCCCAAATACCTTGTTATAAATGCTGACTGTATCTTTCAATTTATACTGCAGTGAAGTAAGCTTATGAAAATAGTTCTGAGGGATTAAGCTCTAAATACTATTTCTATGCAGTGGATTATTTTTTCCCCAAGCTCAACATGTTCATGTTGCATAATGATAAGAAAAGTGTTGTGACAAATGTATTGAAGCTTCATTGGCTCTTGCACATGTTATCTAGCATGTTTGACTAGTAATTTTGAGAAAAGAATGACAGAGATGATTCCAAGATTTGCTTTGTTGGTCTAGACTGTATTTTGTAACCATTATTTCACCTTTGCCTCAGTTTATGATTTGGTGAAATTGCAAGTACATAAACAAATGAAATTCTTCCTAAAATGCTTTGGCAGTTTATAACTTGAAATTGTTTCAGAAGTTATCTGTTGTTATATCAGTGTTGCTGCATTTTTTTTATTTTTTTTCTTCCATGCTTGTAGTTTTAGTAATGAAAAAAAATTAATGATGCTTAACTAAAACTCCCCTTGCATGTGCTTAAGAGTTTCAGAAAACCTTAAGTCCATTACAAGCCTTGACTTGCTTAGCCTTCACTTGGTAGTTAACTTAAAGTTTTCATCTTGGTAAAGTTGGTTGCAAAACAATTCTTGATCTCATATGGCTTTTATTTTTCTTTTACCTGTTGCATACTTTTGAATTTGGAGATGATGATTATAGCAATTGGATACTATAGAATCTTTAAGCCTATTCAGATTGTACCAGCATGGGATGTCTTTAAGTCTAAGCCAGATTTTGTATTTATGATTCTTACCTGTTCCCTCATTCTTGTGGTCTCTTTCTCTCTCTCTCAAGATTCATCTGTACAAGAAAGCAGCGAACAGGAACTGGAGGGAAGAGACCCAGCTGTTTGGCACGTGGGCTTGAAGGTGGCATGGGACATAGAAACACCTGGCTGGGCAGTGCCACTTCACCAAGGAGACATCTACTTGATGCTTGGTAATTTTCAAGGACTAAAAAGTTGAACTGTTTGTTGAAAATAGAGAAAATTACGCTTATGTTAAATAAGTTACCATACCTTCCTTACAGTTAGGACTTTTCTTGTTTAGAAAAACATGAAATCTGTATGGAGCATATAGTAAATTCCTCCTACTCTGCCTACTTCCAAAGTATTTAGGGGAACTTTTTCCCTTAATATTTGTTTCCCTTTACAACTAAGAAAGAAATAGTCTTTTTTTCACTTTTTCTGTCTGTTGTGCAGTCAGAGTTACTAGTTCCAGTTAAACTTCAGGCCATAAGTAGAATTTCCCTCGATCTTGCCAGAAGTTGTGCTGTATCTGTTCCATCCTTGTATTTCTAGATTCTTTTTGTTTTCTTAATGCAGTTTTTCTGAGCATCTCTTACGTTCAACAAATAAATTTCTGTTCTTCAGCTTGGCTTATCAAGTGGCACCTGTATCATGTAGGATGTGAATGAACGTCCTAAAGTTTTCTGGTGCCATGGTCCTTGAGGTTTCAATCATTGTGCCAATCTGTGGATATTTTATTAGTCACCAGTTTTACACATGACACTTCTCTCCTTCTGCTACTATGTCTACATTCAAGCATGCTGGTTGCTAGTAGTGGGATTATACTGAGATCATAATGAACACAGCTGTCTTACTCCAAGAATGAGTCTCAATGTCTCAAGCGTAGAGGATTAAGAAAAGAAAATTAAATTGAGTTAATTTGCTGGAGCAGCTGAGCTCATGTGCTAAGGTTTATCCATTGAAAGAAATGAAGCGAGAGCTGTTGCTAAGGTTTGTTGACACAAAATCTGTTGCTTTTTCTTTTGGCTTCTGTTTCTCTTGGTTTTCATTTTTGTTAAAATAAATTTAGTTATAGATTACACTAAAAACAATAACAAGGTTTCTGACAACATCATGTTGGCCTGTTTACTGTCTTGGCTTGACATACATCATCTTTGAAGACTCAGAGCACTTGCAGAGCTCCCTGCTTATGTGATTGTGACTTGGAAGGCATGTTCCATGGAATGTCCCTAGGATGACTTGTCACACTCCCATCTTTATGGGCAGAACAGTCTTTGGAACATTACCTTTCACAGTATATATACTAAAAACAATTCCTTTATAAGCCATCATAAAACCCATGTGCCATTCCTTGTTCTTAGTTATCTCATCGAATCCTTCTGCAGGGAAGTGTTGTGTGGAAGTACTGGACTAACTGTGCTCTGAAGAATGTTCAGACATGGAAAGATCAGGTGTTAAGATGTGAGATCCTTTGGCATAGTGGTCTGGACGTGCCTCCCTTTTTTGTAAGGGCATGAAGTAGAAGCCTAGAAGGAAAGAAGGACAATGAAAGTGAAGTTTAAGTGGCAGTTGAACATTCCTAGAAAGGTTATTATAATCTATTTTTGTGCAATAGCAGTCAGGGCATCAAGTAAACTTCTTATCTAATCCTTCCTGACTGGAAACTTTGAGCATATAGAGCATTGCTGGCCAAGAGATTCAGAAGGTATTTAATAAAAGAAGGGGACTAACTTTAGTATTTTTATTGCAAAATACTGTAGATTGTAGTTGATTGAGTTACCAGATCATAAGGGTGTTTTTTATTCCCTAGTGGAATTTATATAGTGACTAAAGTATTTTCAGAGATTCTATATGAAGGGTAGATCAGAAGGATCAGAAAGTTAGTTTATTTAATGAGTAACATCATGAGCATGTTTAGATGGAAACAAAGGATATATTAAACATTCTTTTGAAGATGATGTGTAAATCACTTTCTTATTAGTACTTTTGAAGAGCTACAGATTTGAGCTCTGTAGGCCAGGTGTTTTTTTAATCTCTTCTGCATTTCCATAGTCTTTGTGTTTCTTTTCAATTACTTGGTAAAAAAATTACTCTTCTAAATAGTCTTAGAGGGTATTCTCAAAATGGCCCTTTTATTGGCTTTCTTTGTGTAGCAGGACTGCCTTTATCATTTTGACTTGGAGTGAAAGACAATATATGGAAACATATATAGTTCCAGTGTATTTTTTACTGTTCAGATTTTTTGCACTAACTTTTAAGAGGGGCTATCTTGAAGATGCCAACTAAAAGACAAAATATGAAAACTCTGTTAAAAAAGAAACTTGGCAATAACAAAAAAAAGAAGATTCATTTGTCTTGTGCTTTTGTACATGCTATATTCCAGAACCTCATTTCAGTAAGCAGGTCCTCTTACTGGCATTATATTAAAAGCAGTGGCAGAATGCAAGACATCTAGAAAGTAGAATATTGAAAAGACCTGCATCTGGTGGTGGTCCATGTGCATGCAGTGATTGGTAGGACTGGGGGGATTGGTTGTGACCACCACTGACTCACCCACCCCAGCACTGAACTCAGCCACTCTGTAGGTCTGTCCTTCCAGTTGCTGGAATGGTGTACTGTTACTGCTTTATATGAATGTTGAAAATGCTGAAACATCACATTCAACATGTTGCTTATAATTTAAAAGTCAGGTCCTATCAATTTCTGTACCTGTAATACCACTAGTATTTCCTGTGGTACACACAAATCTGTATAAGAAAGTGTGGTAACTGGATATTTCTTATAGTAACATGCAATTACAGTAACTTGTAAATCAAGATCAATGGGTATAGCAAAGTAACAAAAAACCCACAGTTTTTTCTTTTTAACATTTCTAGTAGACATTTAGTAATGTTTCTGTTCCTCTCTTCATCGGCTTTATGAATGTTTTTTATTATTCTGGGGAGAAATTAAGTAAAATGTCTTATAATTTAAATTTACATCTTCCATCTCAGCAGCCCTCTTCAGATAAAATCATGAGTCATAATTTAGATGTATGTTAATACTAAACATAAGGTGATCACATCCATTCTTCTTTTAAGCTATTACAATAATATAAATGTATTTTATTAAGCAAAACCAGCAAAAACTCAAAATTATTTTAAGTAAGACTGATTTTTTAAAATAATTTCTTCGGCTTTTCTTAATATGAAGAAAAAAGTCTGGTGAATGGCCGCAAGTCTGCTGCCTAAAAATTCAAATCTGAACTTTATATCACTCATGAAACGGAAACACTTTAGCTCAATTTGGAATAATATATTGGTCTGCAGAGGAAGTGCACACTGAACCCTGCTGTCTCAAGTACACAGTCAAGGGGTGTCTAATATGAAACGTGTTGGGTGCATGCAATAAATCCAAAACGCGTGGAGGTGAGCAAAGGGCCCATCTGCTCTGTCCTAGAGCATGCTTAACTAGGCTTGTCATGGTCCTACTATTAAATTGGAATTTTTTTCCCTAATCTTTGAGTTAGACATGACCAGATTTGCAAGCAGATTTACAATTTTCACTAATTTTCCTACCATGACTTCAAAACATACTTAACAAAAATACATTCTGGACTCTTTCAAAGGCAGATTTACTTTTCTGCAGCTGTTTCCCATAGATCAAGCTCTTAGCTTGAAGGTTAGGGTTTTAAAACAGCATGAAGATGAACTTTGAATCTTATACCACTCCCCACCCCCAACAAATTATAGTTTGAGAAGCATAAAAAAATTATTTTCATAACCAAGCAGAAGTAGGTTGCACACATTGCAGAGTTGGCTTGTGGTTAAAGATAAGTATTTAATGGAAACACTTCCACATGTAGAAAGTGACTCATTAAAATATTTCTAGATATTTAATCTGCTTCTATTTTCACAAATGAACCCTTTTTGCTCCCTAGCATCTTGAATGTGTTGGAGCTTTTCACCTCCTCCTTTTTTTTGAGTCTACATTTAATCCAAATGGTATATGCCCTACTATTAAGACTTAGAACTCCAGAAATATATTTATCATTACAAAACTTTGACTGTGAAGTTTGTAAACTCTGACATATTTTTTAAAATTCATTATTTTTCTAGTTTTTAGACTTTTAATCTGTTTTTATTTGTGCATGTTTTTTCTTGTAATGTAATTTTAAGAAAATTAATATCAAAAGTCCATTCCATTTCACTTTTGTTTGTGATATTTGTGGTGATTAGAATATCAAAGATTTTACCAGTGCTTTAAACACCACTGTACCTTTTATTTGCCTCTTGAAATAGATAACAGATAACTGTCCAAAAAGTTCATGAGGAACGCTTTAGAGAAGATAGAAAAGACTATATAAATCCCTTTTGGTAATTCTGGGAGCCATTTTTCCTTGTGGTTTGTATTTTACTGGGAAATACTTTACCTCAAAGTAATAAGTTTAGGGCATTTAGCCTCCACTTCTTTAAGGATTGGCTAAGATTTTCTTATCTTTCTACCTTTTATTTGTTATGTTGCAATAGTCTGCAGTGAATTGTTCCTCTTGAAGTGCTTTGTCTCCTCAGCTCCCTGATAGTTCAGTGGTAGAATGAGAATTAAGTGTCTCTGTGTTATTTCAGTGTCTGTGCACAGACATATCCATTAGTCTGTTCTTTTGACAAAGGCTGTGTAAGCACAGGGCTTTCAGTGCTGCTGGTGGAGCCCAGGTAATTCAGCTGTCAGAGGAAAGCCCAGAGGGGACAGAGCAGGGGCAGGGACTGAGAACAGGATCAGCGAGCAAAGCGGGGATCTGGCAGTACTTTGAAGGAGTGGAGAGGACTGTGCTGAAGTTCTGTGCTGGAGAGATGTGTTTTGAGAAAAAAGAGGCAGAAAACCCCAGATGTCAGTACAGTGCAGGGAGAGGCAGATGTACCATGTGAACTTGCCTCCACCATTAAAAATTGACTATGCAACATCCAGAGTCCAAAACGTATCTGCTATCTGTAAAATCACTGAGAAAATTAATTGATAAGGGAGTAGAGAATAATAGCCTGCATTCTGTACTGAGGAGTCTCTGTTTTGCTTGTGCAGACCTCATGGGTCAGTGCTTAGTCATGTAAAGCTGAGGCTGGCTCCTTAAGAGTTGTTTTTTACTGAACCCCACGAAAGCACTGTGGTACTTCCAACACGGGTGACCAAGGAATGAAACAGCTTTGGTTTGGCTCTAAAACCAAAATAGCATTCTGGGTGTAGTGTTCTGTATCTGAATAAAAGCTTTTCATACCAGATGGACAACGGCCAATTTAACAAAGAGTGATTTTTCTTTTCAGTTAATATATATTTAGGAGAAAAAGAAGGCAAATCTGTGCCACAATCTTTTATGGCCTAAAAGGTATTTTTTAATATGCTTTGAAGCATGCAATCAATGAAGCTTCAACTATTTTTGTACAATTAAAGTTTTAAATTTTTTGCTATCTTTTAAATTAAAATTACAGGCTTCTTTCTGAGATTCATAAAGGATTATGAAGTTGGGAGCAATTCCAAGGTGCAGCTCTACAATGAAAGTTATGCCAAGGGTTTGAATAAAGGTGCAAATCAAAATGTAATGTCTAATTCTGTGTTTGCTACATACAGCCATAAAGAATGGGCACAGAAAGGGGTACTACGGTAGTGGAAGTGTTTAGGTTTGTTTTCTGACACAATTCTTCTTGAAAGTGATTTTGATATTTAAATATTGTGATGTCCAGAATTGATAATGTTCTGTGGCCCTTGCAAACTGGGTTCTGTGCAATTTATCCTCATATGTGTCTATAGGAAATAGTTTTTTTCATAAGGTTTTGTTGGGGTTTTTTTAGCATTTTGTTTTCAAGAACTTTGAGCATGTTTAGTGATTTTGGGAAAAGAGATTGTAATTTCCAAGTAGCCTCTTTAGTCTCCTCCGTAGTCTAGACTTAGTAGTCTCCTCAGCTTTGGAGGAATTAATTTGTTTAGGTGATCTTTCCCTATGAGAGGTGGGAAAATGCCATTTCTAAACTGTATAGGAGAAGGCTAGTGTAAGTAGAAATATTTGTGACTCTAGGATATTTAATAGTTACTGTGCTCTGCAAAACATTGGAGCCATGTGACTGAATTCTCTAGGCATTAAAGCAAGATAAGTAGTGTACTTAATTCATATTCAACCAGATTAACTTTGATTAAGTATAATTTTTCCCTGTACTTAAGGTTTTCTAATCTGTCCCTAGATGACCTCAATATGACCCATCAGCACTGTGTTCTGGCTGGTTTGTCACCTCGCTTCAGCTCCACTCACAGGGTGGCAGATGTAAGTACCAAAACCATTTCACTCTTGGTCCCTTGTAAAGCCAATATCCTGGTGCCATGTATGCATCACTGTGGTGTTTTATCAGAATTGTGGTTTCTGTTATGCTTATGACTCAAACTCTTTTCATTAACTGCTGTTGTTTATTTTTGATTGAGGTACAATTGGTTTTCTGTTGGTAGCAGGCCTTAACTCCCAGCTGGGCTTATCAGATGTGAATTGTGAATGTGCTGCACCACACCTCACAGCTGGCTGATGAAATGTAGTTGAGAAATACAAATTTTCTGAAGTGGCTATATGTAAGTTTTTATTGTATCTTTATAGTGTTCAAGAGGAACATTGGAATACATATTTGGGCAGTGTGAACTGGCACTCCAGAATTTACAGACTGATCCTGATTCAATGGCTTTGTCTTTGAAATCACTGGAAGCTGCAGTGGTGAAGCAAGTAGAAGAAATACATAATGAGGTGAGATTATTTTCACTGAAAATACCTCAGCCAGGTCTGAGCAGTGCATCTCCATATGGAGTTAATAGCAATTAATTGTGTTCAGCTGCTTACAAGGCATTGCTTTGTATGAGTTTGCAATGTGGCTTTTATGACTTTTCTATTTGGGTACAGTAATTGGGATTATCGTGGAAGTTTTTGTTTTTCCTTCTTAAGATCCCTCTGCTGGTAAAGTGAGAGAAGTTTCACAAAATGCTGCACCAGAACTGACAGTGTGGTGGTCAAACAGACTACTCTAGCACTTCTTTAACAGAAAGGAAGAGAGAGAAGGGATTAGAGGGAAAGGAGCAGGTAGATTTTTTCCATTATTCCTCCCTGGTTTTTGTTGAACCAGGTCTTTGCATAATGCCATGGGTGGCACAATTGTGACTGTGTGCTCTAAAGTATGTTCTGAAGAAAATACAGTGGAAATAGTTGTGAGGAACATATTTTATCAGGTCATTTAGTGCTACAAAGGATTCAAGTGTATTAATAATGCACTTGGACAGGATTCCACTGAAGCTGGAAGTGCTTTCTTGCTTGGAGCTGTGCTGTATTTCTACTAAGATAAATTAGAAGCTGTACAAAGGTCATTTGCACTCAAATTATAATTCATATAAAATGTTTAAATTTCTGTCTGCTGAGGAATATAATATTGTGTAGTGCTACTAAAACTTTGTACAACACATTTTTATCTGTATTATGTTTACAGTTGCTAAAATGGAGCATAGTGTTGGCAAAAGATTTGCGCCCTTGACTTTTACCAAAACAGCTCCTAGGGCAATTTAAAGAAGTCTGATGCATGCAGGGGTTTACAAAACATTAATCAGGCTCAGTCCATAAAACTACACGCATATGTGGTTTGCACAGCAAGGGCCACAGGCACAGCTGGTATAAATTTGCACGGGTCCTTTAACATCAAAGCCATGTGCTGTTTACATCAGGTGAGAGAGTAGCCCCTGGTGTTTGCAGTCACCTGAATAATTTTGCAATGTGACATACAGGGATGTTTCCTGTTACACATATGGGATATACTGTAACAGCAATCCTTGTTTAACTTGTACTTATTGTGCACTTAGTAGACACACTGGATCTATATTAAATTTGAAAAGAGACTACCCATCCACCTATTTTACTATTCTTTTTTTTTTTCCTTAATTTTTTATCCCAAGGTCAAATCTTGGGATTAGAGTGCTCCTTAAATTTCATTTATTGCTGCACAAGTAGACAAAATTTCTAGGGGCTTATCTCTTTGCTAAATGCCAATTTTTTTTTTTTTCCTTAATTTTTTATCCCAAGGTCAAATCTTGGGATTAGAGTGCTCCTTAAATTTCATTTATTGCTGCACAAGTAGACAAAATTTCTAGGGGCTTATCTCTGTGGTAAATGCCAATTTTTTTTTTTTTTTCAAACATCGCTGAGCTGAAAATGCAAAGACCTGTGAAGCTAATGCAACTTTGCTTGCATATAAAAGCTTCCTACCTTCTTGTATAATAAATCTTTGTCTTTTCAGGCACTAATACAGGTTTTAGGTTCAAACTTTATCAGGCAGATGGAAGAACAAGAGACTGTTTTGTTTCTTAAAAGAATCAAACTACTTACTGATGAAAATGAACCTTTCATTTCACACTCTTAGTCTGTTAGCAGTTTTTAATGTAAAATCAAAATAGCACTAAAATCCAGATCTCCATAGGATTAATGGAGAACTGCCACCCAGTTTCCCAGTTTTGCCTGTGTATTTCTGATATACAGCTTTCTGTGCTATTCATAAAGCTCCTTGCAAATTTTTTTATCTTCTTCTGAACCAGAGATCACGAGCTTGAAATGAGATAGTGTCTAGAGGTGATGTTATTGTTGTATTTTATTTTTAAATATTGTCCTAACTGAAGTTCTTCAGTTTTAACTCTTATAACTAGCTGCAGCCATTCTTCTTGGTTCTTTATCTTCCTGAAATGCTATGGGTTCATTCTTTTTACCCCCTTGCTGTTACCTCCAAAGCAATCATCAGAGACCATTAACCAGAACAGAACCATCACAGTACCAAGCTAAAGTCTACTACTTTAGCAGATTCACAGACTGTGCTGAAATTAACTGCTCTGCCAAATGAGGCTTGGATGAATTATCTGTGTCTGCTCGGGGGAAAAAGCCTAAGAGTGGGTCTGAAAGAATGAGGAATGGTTCTGTGCCTTCACTTTTGTACTCCTGGGCAGGAAAATTGACTTGCTGTGCTGATAAAGTGTGTTTGAACTGAGGATCTGAAGCATAGGTGGAGACTTCATTTTTTTCTAGATTTTTGGTGGGCAGAGAAACCTCTGAAAGAGTATCTGGGGGATGTCCTTTCTTGATGTTATATTTCCCAGAGTTCATTTTTCAGGGCCCTGTCTTGGATGTCTTGACAGAGATATTCCTGTTGAAGAAGTGAGATGCTAACCTGAGGAGAATTTTAGCATCTCTAGTGGGCAGCCAGGTGGAAGTTTAATATTTCTTTAAACCTAGCTTTGTTGTCATGGTGTCCCTCACTAAAACAGCCTTCAAAGGAATATCTGAGTAATTGCAAGGTATGTGCTGTGTGTTAGATGTGTGAGTCACTTCACTCCCAGTGTGTACTTTGTAGTTGTAAGTAAAGATAACCTTAATTAAGGGTGTTCACGTGCAGTTTGTCTGTGCAGCTCGTGGCCTTGCAGTCTGCACAAACACTTCAGTGGCAGGGGTGTAACAAATGCAGTTACCTGGCAGCTGGGGAGTACAATAGCCTGACAGCTCACACACAGTCACAACCAGGCTGTTGTTTGGTCAGGAATAATTTATCCCAAAAGAAATGATCTTGCACAATTCTCTGAATGGGAACCTCTTGCTCCTCCTACTGCTTTCCTCCTGCTTGGCTTTCCTAAACATGTACAGCTGCTGAGTACATCCCAAACAGAGGCACCTGGGGAAAACCACTGGCAACTAAATTATTTTTAAGGAAATTAAATACTGCTGGACAGACAATATAAATGCTCATACATATAAGAATAAATCTGCAGAAAAGATCTTCACCAGCCTGTTCTTCACATTTCAAAGAAAATTTGTCTTGCTCTGACTAATGCAAAATCTGCTAATAGTTCATGTTTGTGTGAGGTACTTTCAAGGCTTCTGTATTTGCCAGCACCAAACTAATATTCAGATGTTCTCAGTGTAGTAAAACACCAGAGGTAGTCTTTTGTGTCATGGGATTGTGTTGAAAATATGGCAGGTTTCAAACTAAGTACTTAAGTTGGAAAGGTGGGGGTTTGTTCACATCAGGGTGTTTGCTTAGCTGTGATAATCAGATCCTGATTACAATTATTAAAACTAGAGACTGAATTGGCTGCCCTGTTGCTTGTGAAGTACAGTCACTTTTGCCTACAGCAAATCTGTTTTTATGGCAGCAGGAAATAAATTGAGCTTGGAGAATGCATGGGGAGGTAGAAACTTGGGCTAGCTGAGTTGAAGGGATGTGGTGTTGGACACTGAGGTCATGGGTGAGAAGGGGAGTGGTGCAGGCAGCCAAAGGAAGATTAGTTTGTTTTAGCACATTACAGTGAGCTGACACCATGGTTGGTGGCTACTAGTATGGCAGAGAGAAAATGTAGATTGCCTACATGTGTGGTACTGAAAACCAGTACTTTTAAATAATTGACTGAGGAGCATTGCCTCACAGAATGTCAAATGCTACTGTTGGCCTTTTACTGCCCAGTATTGGCAATAACCTAAAATTGGCCTTTAATCATTGCTTAAAGGACAACTCGAAAATATGTTGAGATTAGACACATGAGGCCTGATTCTGAGCTGACTTGCACAGATAAGTCATAAGTGAAAATCAATTAGAAGATGAAAGTTATTCCTCAGACACTTAGCCTGTATATTTTTATATGTAAATATGTTTAAGCTGTGTCCCCTTCAGTCATGTAAAATACTTTCTAATGATAACTGAAGTTATCATGTATGGAAGTCTCTAAATTAAAACTCTCTGACAAAATCCTTACTTAGCAAGAACTGTTAACCTAAGTGTTTTGTCACAGAAGTTGAATGTTCTCTAAACTTCCATTCCAATAGGGCTAGAAATGAGCTTTTTGTGTCTCTCCAGTATTTAGTGTTGAGGTTTTTTTAATGGTAAAGCTTCTGTGCATGGAAGGAGACAAGCCAAGAGGAGTGGTTCCTGCTAGAGAGAAAAGTTATTACAGAAGAGAAATAATGTCACCCTTGCCTCATCATGATAATTTTCTTTTTTTAGAATCAACAGATATCTGTTCAGAGGTCATAGTTCAGAGCAGACACTTGTCAAGCAGTTTGGAGGGTGAAACGTTTTCTCCCCAACCCCAATTTGTTAACCCAGGCTAGAGCTAAAGAGAGATGCTGTGAGATGAATGCAGAGCAGAGTTTGATGGCTGTGTGAGATGGCAGTCCACATCATTAAACAGCCTCTTATTGCAATTAGGTACACACTGACCTCTGATGAGACCAGCTAATCCTGCAGAAAATGAACTAGCTTGTTGCTCTACTTTAGGTCTTAGACCTAAAAAAATACTCTTTTGGGTCAAATTATATGTATTTTGTATGGGATCAAGATACATTTAAATTTTGGCCAATATGCCAGACTGCAATTACAGTGAAGTTACATAGATTATTGCAACAAATCAATATGACTAGGTAAAAATCAGATTGACTGAAATAGATCTATGATGAATCATATTTTAAGATTGATCTTAATACAATTTTTTTTCATTGATTAATGACCTCATGATTAATTTCATGGAACATGTTTGCTGTACAGCACGTGGTAGAGGCCAAAAATCTCAAAAAGAAGTGAAGAGAAAAAAAACCCCAGTTCTTAAAATCCTAATTGAAGAATGGTATGCTCAGCTTTCCCAAAACTGCATATACTAGTTTTGGTTTGTTTTTTTTTCTACCAAACCATAACTAGGTCCTTCATACCTCATTAATATTATAGAGGAAGCAAAGTTTCCTTCAATTTTTAATTTACCAAACCATAACTAGGTCCTTCATACCTCATTAATATTATAGAGGAAGCAAAGTTTCCTTCAATTTTTTATTTTTTTTTTAGGAAGGATGTCATCAAACTTCTGTGCTAAAAAGTCACTGGCTAGCAGTCAGGACTAAAAACATTTTAAGATCTGTGTCTGGCAACGAATCATACTATATTTTACTAACAAATTTCCTTTATTATTCTTTTTATGCACTGAAAATTTAAGTATTTTTAATTGTAGTCTTTACTGTATGGACCAAACCTTCAGTTAATGTCAACTGGACCACTTCCAGATTTCTGTAGCTGTTCAGTTTTCTCTTGCAGGAAGGGGAGTGTTAGGTGACAGCTTTGGGCAGTTTTCTTTATTCTTTCACCTTGGTAGGTTGTCTTTGTTTGCATCTTCAGTGCTGAGCAGGGATAAACAAATCTTCTTTGTGGTACGAATAATGATTAAAGCAGCTTTGAACTCAGTGTGAAACATAACTACCACAACAAAGATAAATATGGAATTCTAAAGACCAGAACTATGGGTTACTCTTAAAGAAAAGCAGCATCTTTGCTAACTGGGCTGTCTGGTGAAGGATGAGAGGCTGTGATTCCTTGTGTGCCACCCTCTCATTCCGTAGCAACTGGGCTGCATTCTAGCAATGTTATAACTGCAAGTGTTTTTCCATCTTCTGTGACTGAAACAATTTGAAACCCACAGTGTTAATCACAATAAGCCAGAGTTGGTGCATATTTGGCTGGAATTTGTAATATTTGTCATACATGTACACCATGTAAAAAGCAGGGGAAAAGGAGTTGAGTTTTGCTCCTCTCTGGGTTTGAAGAGGGTAGCTCAGGTCACAAATGGATGTGGAATAGAAATAAACATCTGGGTGTGTTTAGAGAGGAACAGTTAAAGGTGTGTTTAGAAATGACCTGCTTTGCTAACTGTCTCCTTTCCTATGGGACTAGGTACAGCTGGTTCAGGTATAGCTGGATTCTTGCATTACCCCATTCCTGCCCCAGATAAGGACTGTGGATGTTCATGGTGCCATATGTTTTTATCTTGCAGGTTGAATTTGAGTGGCTTAGGCAGTTTTGGTTCCAAGGCAAGAGGTATTTGAAGTTCACTGATTGGTGGCTTAAGCCTATGGCTAAATTGGAAGAATTTTGGAGAAAACTGGAGATTATGGTAAGTACTGGTTTTAAAGTCTAAAGCCTCTAGGGCCTAATTCTGAGAACACTCACAATTGTGTTTTTAATTGTGCTGTAGTAATGGGGTTTAGACTTTATTCAGAACATATGAGAAGCAGAATCAATGTCAGCCTTTCACTGTCTCCTCTTACTTTTATCCCCCAGTAGCCAGAAAAAATGTGAGCAAAATCAGATCCAAAACCCCAGGATTTTAGTTAGTTCTTGACTTTGCTTGTTTTTAAAGTTTGAAAGCCTCATATGAGCCTTTTAGAGCCTCACAAGATGACAGCCACATATTACACCACACAAACACTGTGCATTGTCAACTTTTTTGTACAACACCCTGACAGTCACCTCTGCTAGTGACAACAGTGGTGCTTGTGTGAAGAGGAAAGCTGAGAACAAAATTGGTCTTCTGGAAGTACAACTGTCCGTGGTCCACCTGCACTCTTAGACCAAAGCCAGAATCTGCAAGAGGGGATTATTTCAAGAATCAATGTAATAATGATTTCTGGGTACTTCAAAGTACATTGTGCATTTCTTGAAAAGGGATTCAGTGCCAAACACTTTTACCCTGTTGCTGTCCATGTAGAGCCTCAAGGTCAGAGCCTGTGCTGTCAGAGTTCCAGAGCAGTTGCCAGTGGGAAAGCTGAGAACAAAATTGGTCTTCTGGAAGTACAACTGTCCGTGGTCCACCTGCACTCTTAGACCAAAGCCAGAATCTGCAAGAGGGGATTATTTCAAGAATCAATGTAATAATGATTTCTGGGTACTTCAAAGTACATTGTGCATTTCTTGAAAAGGGATTCAGTGCCAAACACTGTTACCCTGTTGCTGTCCACATAGAGCCTCAGGTCAGAGCCTGTGCTGTCAGAGCTCCAGAGCAGTTGCCAGCATGCCTTTTTCTGGGTTGGCACTCAGAAGGGGCTGTGCTGGCAAACCCATTGTCCTCCTCTCCATCCATCTGCATCAGAAGCTGCTGCTTGGTCATTTCTTCTGGCCGTGGCATAAACTAGCCTCAGGTTGCCTGTACCGGCTTGGAAGAGTTTGTGTTGTAGCTGAGGATGCTGAGTACCACTTGTGTCAGGGCTGTGTTTGAGGTGCAGCAAGAACCTTGGGTCCTTCCTTAGACCTTTCTTGACAGGAAATGCTGTGGCTCAGTTCTGGTTCAGACTCAGAAAACGTGCCCAGAAAAGTGGACATTTGAATTGTGGAATCAGTTGCCACAAGAAATCAATGAACATTGAATTTTTGTTGGGTTTTGGGGATTGTTTCCCTCTTTTTGGTGTGTTCTTATGTGCTCACATTCTTGAACGACCCTTATAATTTAAGAAAAGTCTTCTGGTTTGTTTTTCTTTCAAATGACAACTTACTCTCTTGTAACACAGGCTTAGATGAGGTAGAGACAAGAATGTTTGATATTTTATATCCATTGTGTGTTGAAAACATGGAAAAACAGCAAACTCTGGAACTCTCAAGGGTTAGGTTTTCTGCAATTGGTGTGACATTGCCATGTGTCTCTAATTAGAAACACGGTGGCGTCAGTGTATCTCCTTTCAACAAGCCTCGGGATGATATTTATCAGCAAACCCAAGCTTGGGCCAAGACAGAAGCTGCTTCTAATTTATATTTTAAGAATCGCTTTAATGTTTTATGACTTATAACATATTAATCACAATTAATTTCATCTATCGGAGGAGACAGAGGAGAACGTTAATTGGCAGTGTCTGTTTCGCCGAGCCTCTCGGTGTGCTGGGCTCTGGCCGCGCTCGGGCCCCGGCGCTGGGCGGGTTTTGGGGTTGCGGGGCAGGTTTTGGGGTCACGGGACAGGTTTTGGAGATGCGGGGAGGGTTTTGGGGTCACGGGGCGGGGTTTGAGCTGGGGCGGTGTGTGGATTTTGGGGGCTCGAGGTGCGGTTCGGGCTGGGGCGGTGGGTGGATTTGGGGTCGCGGGGCGCGGTTCGGGCTGGGGCGGTGGGTGGATTTTGGGGGCGCGGCTCGGGCTGCGGCGCTGGCGGCCGCCGTCGGGGGGCAGTGTTGGGCCGCGCGTTGGGCGCTCCCGGCCGCGGAATCGCGGAGCGATCCCGGGCGGCTCCCGCCAGCCCCATCCCCGCTTCCACAGCACGGGGTAACGAATTCAACAGCAGTTTAACACTAAAACTGCGCTGCTTTGGGGCATGCTTAGCTTCCGCAGCTAAGTTAAACCTAAAGGGTATTTTTGAAGGTAGCCAGTAGTCTGCACTCAATGTTTGGAGTTTTTTTTTCTCCTGATTTATAACTTTAGCTGGATGATTCTTTAAAAAAAAATAAAATAAAAAAGAAGAGAATAATTTAAAATGCCAAAAGTAAAATGTCTTAGAATTGTTGATCTAGTTTTGGAAGGATTTTGCTGCTTAAAAGGAATTCTTCCTTAAAAGAAAATATTTAAGCATGTATTTTTTCTTTGTGTGTGAGCTGAACGACTGTTGACGTAGCGTTTTTATATATGTGTCTAGAGTGAGACAAAAGTCAGTCTCAGGGACCTTCTGTGTATTTTTTTAGGTTTTCCCCTTGTTTACTAAAGAAGGAAAAAAAGTTTCAAAAATTATCTCTGGTTCTGCTGATTGTAATTACTCTTCTGTCACGGCAGAGTGTGATATTGCAGGAAGTTTAGCCCAGTGTCTTCAAACCTGTGGGCTTTATTAAATATTTTTGTACATTATAGCAAGCAGACAATTTTATCAGAATGTTTATTCCTGGCATTTCTTTCCCTGAGGATAGTTTTACTTAGAGCTCACTCTTGTGATGTAAATGTTAAACCTTTCATTTGAATGACATTCTGATAAAACATCGCATTTCCCACAATATTACCTCATGAATTTATGAGCCATTAAATCCGAGGCAGTTTAACCAATCTTCCTTTTTTTCTCCCCCTCCCTTGAAAATATGAAGGCTATTCATATGTTGGAGGTTTTTTTTTTAAAAGTCATCCAAGATTAACACGTTATCGCCTGCAACATCAGGATAAATGCTTGCAGAATTCAAAGGGAGAGTTACCATTTGAAAAAAGACCGTACAGGCTTTGCTTTCTGGGTAAAGAGAAGTCTGAAAAGCTGAAATCTCATGTGATGTGAGCAAGTCTTGCTGTAGCTGTTCTGAGATTCAGTGGAGAGACAATTTGTCTCTCAGGGTCTGATATCATGCAAACCTTGCAATCTGACATTTATTTTAGCTATGAAAATCTGTAACCACCACACCAAATCTGTAAGAACTGCAGAAGTCCAACAGTCTTTTTTTGGTTATTTTGTTTTAGGTGGATTCACGTGAGAAAAGTAAAATGTAAATCACTGAAATTATTTTTGTTTGTGGAATGAAAAGTAAACATATATGGCTACACTTGCATGTTGAATTTTTGAAGGCTTTTTTAAACATATCTAGTATTTCTTTAAAAAATAAAAAAGGACCTTACAGTGCTATATGGTGTGAATTGTATTTCCTGCTTTGACAGTCCATTTAGCAATGTATCAATGTATTTATATGGCAGTTGGCCTTAATAACCCTTATTGACTTTAGTGGGAAAGAGCCTAGTGTGGCATTATTAAAATGTATCAATTTCATTGCAGTATAAAATCACAACACATATAATTATGTTTGGTAGGCTAGGCTCCATTTAATCCCACCTATTTATGCAGGAATTTGGCAAGACAGAAAGAGAGCTTGGAACTGAAATGTAGAGAAAAGTGTGAGTGACTTGAGTTGCATTTAACAGCACAACTGCTTCACTGCCCACACTGAAGGCACTACTTAAAGGAATGAAACATAGATCTTGAGGAAGTAATTTCTTAATGGGATAACTGAAGCACAAGTAGTTGTTACACCATTTGTTTCATTTTTTGGCATCTTAAAACAGCTGATGATAATGAAGTGTAGCACACCTTTTAATTTGTAGTAGTGCGGAAGCAGAAGCATGCACACTCGGTGTGAGCAGAATGGTCAAAGTGGCATTTCATGCGGGCTGGTATCTTTCTGCACAACTTTCATCTTGATTTCTAAAACTTTTTAAAAACTGTCTTTAGTCTTGTTATTACTGTTATTCTTAATAACAGGTTTTTTATCAGTTTACACAACTGAATTGAAATCGGAGAGCAAGACTATTTTATTGTAAAATTATTTTTCTTTCCTTTTTGATGTCTGTTTCATTATTTGCCCCTATTGCTGTATATGAACTATGTAATAGTTTCAGCTAGAAGCCACTGTTGTCAGGGGCTTACAGCCTGACAGTTAGAATTGAGTCTGCACTGAAACTTGAGCTACAAAATCTCAGCCCAGAGCCATTTTTTTTCTCCCAAATTAAAGCAAGGGTTTAAATGTGTATTTAAATCAAGAGCATTTCAGTTCCCGGATAACCATGAAAAGCTCTAAGAAAAAATATGCTTTTACAAGGAATTCTCCTAGCTTTTGTAGACTTTGGCACTTTAAACAACTAACCAATTATTTTTAAAAAAACAGATAATGGGATCACAAACAGGCTGGTTAGTTGCTTAGCTTCTTTCAGAAATTGCATAGCAACTTAACTGACACTTGAATTGGTTTGACCTTGTCAGCCAAAATTCCAGGAACTCTGAGGTATTATTTTAATTTCTCTTCTGGTTTTCCCGTGGTGCTCAGATATTGCAGTGTCACACTTTATTGGAGGGCCATGTGGCCATGGGTGATCGGATTTGCCTAATGAGCTGTGAAATGCAGGAACAACATGGCAGCTCAAAAACCCAAATTTTACCCATATTTATTGTCTTTTGGGGCTCTCCTTATCTGTTTAGGCCAGAGCCTTTAAATAAATGTATTTTTGGCAGATTATATTTTGTGTACACTGGAAGTCACATGTTTCTGGAAATGTATCTTTTATCTTGAACAACAACAACAAAACCTGATCCTGGAGACTTATTTTTCTTTTTTTTTTTTCCTTTTTTTTTTTCCTTTTTTTTCCAGGCAATAATTTCTATGACCCCAATATTTTTAG